TTAAGTAGTAGGCACCACCCGGATGAGAAATGTCATTTAACTTACCGAAACAGCGAGGCTTTTTATTTTTCCCGATTAACACAGGCTCTCTTCTTCGCTGGCTGCATTCACAAAGAAAGCTTCTGTAATCCAAAGCATTGAATTTTTCCCTCCACTCCAACATTTACCTTTCTGCGATAAGGATTTCTCCGGCAACGCCTTGCTAAAAGGCCCAGTTTCATCTAGGTTCTACACGTCTCGTGGTGAATAACCTGGAGTGATTTCCTTGACCGTTTCCTGGCAGCTTTCAGCTGTTTCCGGAGTCACGTCTCCTTCTTCTCTGGCGATAGTCATTTCCATAATGTTGTCTTCTTTTCCATTTTTGCAACCACCCATTAGTTCCTTGGAAGTTTTCTTCCGCGATGCATCTGCGATGAGTTTTGTTTCTTCATTTAGAAGAGGTCCATTAACAGGAATATTGGACTCGTGGGCTCGTTCATACCACTTCCATTAAGAGGTGATTCACTTCATCGAACTTCTCATTGTTTTGTCTTTTCTTTTTTGCTGCTGTGTCGTTTGAACTCTATCTTGACATAATTTTTTCTTTGTTTTTTAGAACGTTTATCATCTGCGTCTTTCCACATTCGAATTGACTTGCTAGCCTTCTGGTACTAGTCCTACTTTGACGAAACTGTTGAATTACTTCAATTTTTTATCTTAATGTAAGGCACTTCCTGTTTCCACGTGTATCTGCTATTTTAGGTGAGAACTTTTTCCTGTCTTGCACTGATGAGGACTTGCTTTTGGTCGGAAGCCTTAATATAAGGGCTTGACCTTTTCTATCCAGCTCTTCAGTTTTCTTAAATCCTGGCAAACATTAAACAGCAGAGATGCTCATTTGCCAAGCACTCGTTTCCTCGTGAGCAGGGACAGAGCATTCCACAGTTTTGTTGCAGATAGCGTTCTTGCAACTCAAACAGGTGTAGCTTGTTGGGGTAGAGCATGTCATACAGAGGGTCATTTCAGTTTACAGGACATTTTTAATCGGTGCTATAAACTGAGACAATTTGGACAAACGGAACTTGGCTTAAAAGACAGTTATAACAACCACTGAGCAACCAACTTAACGACTAAATAACACGATACAATACTTAGGGGGTGTTTACATGGGAAAACTCGCACCGGTGCCAGTTTCATTTCGTGATTTTGTCATGCATTTACTTGATGACTGGGTCATTTCATATCATGTTTGCATGAAAACTTAATCAAAATTGCAAGCATGGCGTCCATTGTCAGTGACATGTTTTCCGCTACTGCTGCAGTAGCAGTTGTTTCAGCCATAAATTTGTCAAATTCGTTTATGAACCTTATGCTGAGCAAGCTTATCAGCCGGAGAAACAACCAGGCGTGTCTATCAGTTCTAGAAAACTCGGCAATAACACTTTGCCGTCATAAGTCGTTCAAGAAAAGACCGCGGAAGAAGAAGCGTTTCTGGATAAAACCTGGACGAACCAACCTTTGGTGGCGCAATATGAAAGAAGACAAATGTTTAGAAGAAGATTGCAAGAAGAATTTTAGAATGAGCAAAGTCGTATTTCTGAAGCTTGTTGACGAACTCCGACCCTTTATTTCACCCAACCCCAGATCCCCTCGACCAGGAATTTTAGAAGAAAAGATTTTCAGTCATTGAGAGTAGCGAAGATTTGTTGTTAAAATGTGTCCATTTATATCTTTCGGTTCTATGCCTTCACACCATGCAAATGTAATTCGATCTATTAAGAAATTTTGTTTTCGTGACTTTTTTATATTGTCACTGAACTCCCCCCCACTCCCACCCCTCTCGCTGAACTTGACACAGTACTTGTGCAAAATACTGTATTGTTAGTTCAGTGTAATTTTGTTCAAACCATTCTGCCTCAATATCTGAAACGTGTTTAATATGTTCTACAGACTAGGTTGCCGTAACTCTTTACTATCTCAAGGATAGCGGTAGTGTGTTGATGACTGCTAATAGTTTTGGGGTTGCAGTCCCAGCAGTGTCAGTTGTAATACGTAGAGTTTGTTATTCTATCAGTGAACACCTGCTACCTAAATATATCCATTTTCCACAAGATGAACCTTCCCTTGAGAGATTAATTACAGGCTGGGAGTAAAAGACTGGGTTTCCAATGGTTGTTGGTACAGTTGATGGAACCCACATCCCCATCATGCAACCATACCGCAACTCACAAGATTATTACTCATACAAAATGAAGTACACAATCAGTGTGCAAGGGTGTTTGTGACTACAATGGCAAATTCATTGATGTTGACATTAGATGGCCAAGTGGAACACATGATGCTAAAGTGTTTTCATGCAGTTCAATTAACAAGCACCTTCAAGAGCAAAAACAGCCATATTTATGTAGACCTTTACTACCTGGCAGAGACAAGGTTGGTTTGTTATTGCTTGGGGATCCTGCTTATCCTCTTTTACCTCATGTGATGAAAGAGTTTGCCACATGCACTACTGACGCTCAGGTTATATTCAATCAGATGTTGCGAGATGCCAGGAATGCAATAGAATGCGCTTATGGGAGATACTGAGATACTCTCAGTGCCTTTGAACTTTAAACTTCAGGAAGTGCCAGTGATAACCATTACATGTTTTGTCTTGTACGATTGGTTGTGAAGAGCATAATGTTGATGATTGATGATGCTGCTGTGATTGACCAAATACAAAGAGATCGGGAGATGCAGCCATCAAGAACAAATGATAGGAGGTATACATTCACTTCTTCAGAGGGAAGAAAGATCAGAGACATTATTAAAGACTACTTTAGTGAACAATCCTCTTAAGGCATGTAGTAACTTCTGTGCTTTCCTGTCAAATAGTGTCATATACAGCTTTATGTATAACTATCTATTGTATCTGATCAAGTGATTCAAGGTGAAATGTGGGTTTCATGAATTGGACATGTTTGGAAGGATAGCTGTAACTTTTGCACACTTTACATACTATTATGTGCAGGTTTTACATCTTTGTGAGCAAGGCCAAAAGTAAAACAAAGTTGCTGTTCTTTTTCTTTACAATATGGACATTATATGAGAAAAGAGAAACATTGTTGAGTTTACTGAAACAAATCAAATGTAAAAAGCCTCCTTTGGGCTTGAACCACAGTAACGTTTATTTCCAAAAACAACTTGTAAAAGTAATCTAAACACATCAACTACATTTGCTGTAAAAGCATTACAATAAGAGGAACAATTATATCAGTTAAATTTTTATCCTAGGCTTGCAGTAACCAGAATTTTTGGAAAAGCAGCCCTGAACAGAAACCAACATTTCGGTATTTTTTGAAACAATGTTTTACTGCTTGAAACCCATAGCAATAAAGAAACACTGAAGAGTGTTTTTTGCTACAAAAGCCACTCACTCTAGGAGATTTGGTTTTGGATAGATAACTTGATTTCTCGGGAACAAAACTTCAACTTTTAACCCTTGGAAGTATTCACGTGCTGAATTAATTCCCTAAAACAAAACTTCAACTTTTAATCCTTGAAAGTTCTAACTTGTTGAATTCCCCACAACAAAACCTCAACTTTTAACCCTGGGAAGTGTTCACAGGTTCAATTCCCCACAACAAAACTTCAACATTTGACACTCTGAGGTATTCACTCATTATATTCCCTATCAGTGTGCCCATCAAAGTCAAAATTTTGCTGCTCTGTATGTTCCCAGCTGGCTGACATGAGTGTGTTGGGGTAAAAGGGGGAATTGAGACTGATTAAACCAATTGTTTGCAGTAAATCCAGGTTGGTTTGATGACTGATAACGAATACTTCCTGGCCGCTGCATTGCACTGAACATAAACTGGAGCCCTGTTGCGAGGGTCTTATTTAACAAAGCAGGTGATTCAGCCATTGATTTCATGGCTGACTCTAACCCATCATCTTTTCTGTTTAGACCTTCCATCATGGCTGTTGTATTTCCGTAATTACTTTGTTTAGAAGACTAGCTCGACTTACAGCTTGAGAAACAAACAAGCTGCTGTGAAAAGCACGAGGTTCGAAACTCTAAAGTTGACGTCATGTAAAAGTCAAAATGTCAACGTTGTTGATATGAAACTGAACCGAAAAAGTCTTTGTGGTCTCAAATAGTCCACAGATGTCTGGTAAAGTTAAACAGGGTTATATACGAAGTCTAGATTCCTGATTGGCTTGATTAGACGCGCAGAGCATGATCTGGTTAGCATTGGTGTTAGGTCTGCTGGTATTCTAATCTTTCCAACATCAGGATTGTTCTGGGCGTTGCTGCGTTCTGGTTGTTACTGGCAGGTGGTGATTGAGGCTGCATCATCATCTGACACGTGAGCCGGGTATCTTACGGGTATGTGTGGCTTGGGTCGCTGCTGTGTGATAGTGATGTAGCGTGGCTTAATGTCATGTTTGTTACGTCGGAGCCTTCTGTTGTTCTTGTCATTGGTGATCCAATACGAGTCTGGTGTGATATCTTTGGACTCAATGTATCCTGGTTTCCACTCAGCTGAACTGTCATCAGTGAACCAGATGGGCTGACTTGGCACGTAGATATTAGATATTGTTGTCCTGCTTTGATGACTTCAGATGTGCTGAGCACTTGTCGCTAAGGTGGGTCTTCTGTTGATCAGTTAGAGGCGCTGGTGTCATAGCCATGCTGAGACGGGTGTTGATTCGCCTATTATGGAAGAGTTCAGCACGTGATGGTAGAGTGTCAAGGTAAGTTGTCAGAGCTTTGGTGATGTCGATGTCGCTGGCACTCTTCTTCAGGATCTGTTCGATTGTGGCAATGGCCCTTTCCGCTCTTCTATTGCTTTGATGGTAGTATGGGCTGGATGTTACGTGCCCAACATCAAGCTGGTCACAAAAGCGTCGGAAGTGGTTAGATCTAAAGCATGGGCCATTGTTAGAAATGATCTTCTCAGCCAGTCCCAACTTCCTGAAGATATTGTTCAACACTTTTGTGACAGTTTCTGTTGTCTCACTCTCAAGGGTGTCATAGGTGAGAAAGCCAGAGAAGTAATCAACTGTCACTAAGGCATGTTTACCTCGAAAGTCAACCAAATTAATGCACAGGATTTCCATTGGACGTGTTGCCGAGATCTGTCTCTCTGGAGGTCTGGGCTTCTTGTTGCATGCCTTTGGCACTCATCACACTTGTGAACCATGTCTCTGATGTCATCCTGTAGTTTTGGCCAATAGACAGTGCGTCTTGCTCGTTGAAGCATTGAAGTGAGAACTTGGTGTGCGTCATGTAGGCGATTGAGAGTTGCAGGTCTCATACTTGTAGGAATAACAACTCTGTTGCCTTTCATTATGAGTCCGTCAAGAATTGTCAGTTCATCACGGAAACACTAGTATGGAATCAGATGCTCTGGTATATCCTACATGCTATTGGGCCAACCAGTGAGGATTAGATCTGTAAGTTCAGCCAAAGTGGGTCGGCTTTGTATCCTCTTGCAAGGATTCGAGTCGGGTTGGTTCCACCTTCAGGACTTGTGCAATGCTGATTCTAAACCAGGGATTTCTCTGGCACTGCCTAGTTCAACAACACGAGAGAGTGTATCAGCAAGAAGAACACTCTTGGATCCAACGTACACCACTTGGATGTCGTATTTGGAGAGACGTAACAACATCCGCTGCAATCTGGCTGGAGCGGGGCTAATTGGTTTCAGAAGGATGTTCTGTAGGGGTTTGTGATCAGTGTGTACGGTGGTTTTCCGCCCAAAAGTGTATGTGTGCAGTTTCTCGCAGGCAAACAGTACTGCCAACAGTTCCCGTTCTATGTTGGAGTAGTTAGCTTCAGCAGGAGTAAGTGCCTTACTGAGAAAACGTACAGGTTTGCTGTCTTGGATAAGAACGGCACTAAGGCCTTTCAGAGATGCATTGGTTTCAATAACGGCGGACTTGTTGGGTTCATAGTGAGTGAGCTGAACAGCATTAGCAATCTCATTCTTGGTGGTGTCTAGTTCCTTTTGCATATCGCTTGTCCATAAGAAATGCACGTCACGTTTTAGCAGGCTTCGCAGCAGATGCGTTTTCTTGGTCAGGTTTGGGATAAATGTTGACATCTAATTCACTGTACCAAGGAGGCTTTGTAGCTCTTGCTTATCTTTAGGAGCAGCTAGCATTGCAATGTTCTTGTCTTTCTTTGGACACGGTTTTACGCCCTGTGGAGTGAACATACGTCCAAAGTACTCAATTTCCTGTTTCTTGATGCAGCACTTATTTGGGTTAAATTTCAGCCCTGCTTGGTATGTTCGCTGAACCGTTTCCAACAGGTGAATGTCGTGACGTTCTTCTGTGGATCCTTGCACGTAAACATCATCTGCACAGGGAAATGTGCCAGGGACACCAGAAAGAACCTGATCCATTTCTTTACAGAAGATTTCAGATGACGCTGAGAGCTCAAAGGGTAAGCACACAAAGCAGTATTTCTTAAAGGGTGTATTAAATGCATTGAGAAGTTGACTCTGTTCATCACGTTTTTAAGTCCAGTAGCCACTTTTTGCGTCAAGGGTGGAGAAGTACTGGCCATTTTTGAAACCATGAAGAGCATCCTCCCACGAAGTAGTGTAGTGAACATTGCGGATCAGATGCTTGTTTAGGTAGAGATCCATATTTCTTAACGACAGTTACTATATTGTGTACACATTCAGTCGTTTCTGGGCAGGGTCGGATGATTCCTTCTTGCTCCATCTTGTCAAGTTCCTTCTTAAGTTCTGGCATAATGCGTTGTGGTACAGCACGAGGGAGCAGCTGAACTGGTTTTGCATCAGGGGAGACCTTGAGGCTAGCCTCACCTTCAAAAAGACCCGCTTGACCGCCAAAAGTTTCTGGAATATTTGTTTCAAATCGTTTAGAGGGTCACCTGTTTTCCTACCAAGAGGCAGATGTTCCTTCCACTTCGTTTTAAGGTTGTGATAATCAACTTCTGATTCATCAGTAATGTGAACGGCCTCTACTTGGTTGGGTTTCAAAGATACACTTTGAAGTGTGCATACAGGAGAGATTGTTACAAGCTTAAACATTTTGCAAAATTCAAGACCAAGAATGAAAGCATAGTCATGTTTAGTGAGGTAAAACTTGGCCTTCTTGGTGATCTTATTGCAAGTTACATTGACGCATACAGTTCCACAGTTCTGAGTGCTCCTGACATACCACGAATGACATCATCACTAGGTTTAAGGTCTTTCATTGACAGTCCAATTTGTCGAAGCATTGACGTTGGTATACAGCTTACCATTACACCAGTGTCCACCTTGCCTTTGAGGGTTCACTTGGCATTGCCTTTCAGGTGGAATACTACTGGAGCATACTCCTCACATGATTCGTAGTTGTGTAGGGCATGAACTGAAACAGCATTCAAATCAAATTCATTATCATATTCACTACTGTCTTGTTCAGCTGAGACATCGACAGCATGTTGGTGTTTGGATGCTTTGCCTTCTCCCTTTTTCTTAAGACATGCTCGTTCAAAGTGTCCTTGCTTACTACAAAAGT